GTGAGAGAGAGAGAGAGAGAGAGAGAGAGAGAGAGAGAGAGAGAGAGAGAGAGAGAGAGAGAGAGAGAGAGAGAGAGAGCGAACGGGATGGCGGGTCGGGGAGCCAGCGACAACACGAGATACAAAAAATGTCCGGCAAGAAGTCATCCGCTGAGGCTAAGCACACCACCACACCGAGTGACCCATGTCCACGACACGTATGGTAAAAACTCCCGATTTACTGTTTCTCATTTTGCGTCCCTTTCGCATAGATTCCAAAAACAGGGTGGCAAAGTGTCCTAAAGAAAAAAGAAGATATTTTGAACCTAATGTGTAAAGTGTATAGAGATTTTGTTTATCAGATTTCGATGTAGAAACCTAGAAAAGAAAACCCGTGTTTATGTTTTTGTTTCATTCAAATACGCATTGTTTGGTTCAGCTATCTCAACAGGTGCGTGAAACCAAGCGGGTATGAGGGGTCAGAGCAAACGGCTAGCCCGCGGAACAGCGGCTGCTGACGTCATTTTACCGGGGAACAACGACCGGGGAACAGCGACTAGTATTTTACTATATACATTTCTTTGTTACAGTCATAGATATACACTATAGGTTTAAAAGGGGATAACTCTATGGTTACAGTTTATCTTGGCGTAATTGCCTACAGTATCGAATACAGCTAATGTGTGTTGTTGTGTTTTTGACAATTCAAAGACAAAGTTGGCTAAAGTTTACATATATCGCATCAAATCAGGTTCCTTGAGAGCCACTTTGCTTCTTTTGACACGCTGATTCCGAAAATGAAATTAGTTTGTAGCTGCGATAATAATTTTTAAGGTTTTGCAAGCAAACTTCATTCCCGCACGGGGGCAAACTTCAAAGGGATTCACAGCTCGTCTCTCCCAATTCTGACGAAATTAGTTAAAGATGACTTGTCCTGTCTCGTTCTGATAAGAAACTACTAAATGATGCAATCTTGATAAAATATTTCTTTTTTTGCAATCTTCTAAATCCCAAAAGAAAAAGAGTCACCTGCCAGTCAATTTGTCAATTTTGTTACGCTGGTTCCGAATTTGATATTATTTTTACGGTAGAAGGTAGCATTTAATAAGTTTATAGACAAAATGTTAATGTCGGCGGGTCGCATCTATACCATGATCAATACCACCAAGATGAGGTATTCGCTAAGTGCAGTCGCTGTTCCCCGGTGCTCCGAATGCAAACCTGTGATGGATATGGCTGGACAACCAGCGATGGAAACGAACAGTAAGGCGGAATAACTTAATGAGATTTTTAAAAATCAAAGTCGATCAAACCGTTATTCATGCATGCTTTCATGATCACGTGAATAAAAGGAAATACTCACCCAGATCGGACATCCAGATCGGACGTATTGCTTTAAAACAGACGCAGAAGAACACTAGTCCCACAAGACGTAAATATCCTGGCTGGAGATCAAGAAACTTTTTTCAAATTTTTCGTTTTTCACAAATCCTTTTGCCGTTCACAAAATATGACACTGTAGGGAACCTTGCATTGACACCCGAGCAAACTGAACTGTCGTAAAAATAATCCTCGTGGAAGGATCAATAACGAAAATGAATATCTTTTAGACGACGTCAAAAACAGAATTTAGTACTGCGTAGACTGAGACATCTGGAATCTGTGACTGAGACAAGGCTTTTCTTTCCCCTCAATACCTTACCGAGTCACACATACACGCTGAGAGAAAGAAAGCGAGAAAGAGAGAGAGAGAGAGAGAGAGA